TCGGCCAAATCTCATCCGATTTTCACGAAGCTTGGCTTTTTCTTCATGGTTTTCCTTCTAGATTAATGTGGCATTCAAATCTTGACACCGATTTTTTGGTCGAAATTCATGTCCAAATCTTACCCCAAGATTCGTATTAGACATGGGTCAACAATTACCACCCCATAACTCGGTCAAATCTCATCCGATTTCCACGAAGTTTGGCTTTTTCTTCATGGTTTTCCCTCTAGATTAATCGGGCATTCAAATCTCGACACCGATTTTTTGGTCGAAATTCATGTCCAAATCTTACCCCAAGATTCGTATCTAGACATGGGTCAAAATTTACCACCCCATAACTCGGTCAAATCTCATCCGATTTCCACGAAGTTTGGCTTTTCCTTCATGGTTTTCCCTCTAGATTAATCTGGCATTCAAATCTGAACACCGATTTTTTAGTCGAAATGCATGTCCAAATCTTACCCCAAGATTCGTATATAGACATGGGTCAAAAATTACCACCCCATAACTCGGTCAAATCTCATCCGATTTTTACGCAGTTTGGCTTTTTATACCCTGAACCCATTAAAAATGGGTATAAGGGTATATTGAATATGTGCGAAAGCCAAATATATGTAACAGGCAGAAAGAAGCAACTCCGACCCTATAAAGTATATATATTCTTGATCAGCATAAATAGCTGAGTCGATCTAGCCATGTCCGTCTGTCTGTCCATCCGTTCGTCCGTCCGTATGTATGAACGCAAGGATCTCTGAACCTATAGGAGCTAGAGACTTGCTCCTAGTTCCCGCGCAGATCGAGTTTGTTTCCGATAATCGATAACTTACTCCGTTTCCAAGCAATCGATAAAAATCGTTATCGATATCCTGTTTCTTGGGCAATTTTGGTAAATAATAAGAGCTAGGGTCACCAAACTTGACATATAGCTTCTAAAATAGAATATATATATGCATTTGATGTTGGAAGAAGAGGGTTCAGGGTATCTCCTAGTCGGGAGCTCCCGACTCGAACCTCTTACTTGTTAACATGTGTATCATTGGGGCAACTGAATAAAAAGTCTTATGGTCTATGTCGAGAGACAATAGTTGTCTTTGCTGCTTAAAAAGCGTATCTCAATAGTTTCTTGATATACCCTAGAGCTTTAATAATATTAAGAAATAAAGCTACAAATCGATTATCATAAAAAAAATAGATAAATAAAAAAAATTCTTAAATTGATTTATTTCATATATAAAAAAAAGTTGTGGAATAATAGTTAGATCCCATCAGGAACAAAGTTATGGTAGTTAAAAAGTTTTCCTAAACAATCGCGCTGTTCGTTATTATATTAGTTAGATGGATATTAGATAGATAGTTATTAGACTAATGATATTAGGCCATCATTGTTTAAGGTTATTTATTGTTATATTGCTTAGGCTATGTCTTAAAAAAGAGCTCAGATATCCAGCATTTGGTTTCTTTTTTCTTTTAATGCTTTTTTCAATGATCAACGGAAACAGCTCACAAGTAACAATTATTTCTGTATTTCCGCTACAAAATGGGAGTAAATGATTTATTTGAGATGCGTTTTGCGTTTTGGAAAGTTCGTAACGAAATCTGAAAAACAAATCAAACAAAATCAATAAATAACTGCGGGGAAATACAAGAAATTAAGCAACAATATATCATACAACAAATAATAGAAAATGTTAAATTATTTGTAATGAACGCTAATTTTTATTTTAACGCGAAATGCTTAATTTGTTCAGCTATTTTTGGGGCTAATTACCAAAGTAATTGCTGCAGTAATTACAATTGTAATTGAACACATTTATGCTGCACAGCCTGTCAGGGATATTTGTTTAGCACAAATTAATTCAGAGCTACAAATAAAAATCAATCATGCATCAATATATCAATGTTGCCTTCTATTTATGTTTTTCATACCCATTGAAAATATGTAAAAGGGTATATTGGTTTTGTGCAAATGTATGTAACAGGCAGAAGAAAGCATCACCAAGCCCATCTAGTATATATAATCTTAGTCAGCATCAATAGCTGAGTTGATCTGCATCTCCTTTCTTCCCTCCGTCCCTCCGTCCGCCTGTCTGTTCCTTCGTTCCTCTACCTGTCCATTCGACTGTAAGTCTGTCCGTCGATCTCAGAACTTATTATATCTTTAGACTTGAAAGAAGTGCCTCCTCGTGCCCGTGCAGTGCGATTTTTTGTCCGATAATCGATAACTTGCCCTGTTTGCATGTAATCGATAAAAATCGTTATCGAAATGCGGCCTTATGAGCTAGAGTCACCAAATTTGACATGTAGCTTCTGGATTAGTATATGAACTTCGAGTATCTTTCACAGCTAACGCACCCTTCTTTCCCTCCGCCTAGCACTAGCTGCATTTGCTGTTGTTTAGGGTATCCGCTAGTCGCGCACTCCCGCCTCGAGCGCTCTTACATGTTTTGTTTGCTATTTGCCGCTCATTTGCTAACCGTGCAGGCCAAAATGTTTATGATTTTATGTGGCACAATGAAGAAACAAACCGCCTTTCGATAACCGTTAATTATGTGCGCTATTGTGATCTTTGATCTTTTTTTCGCCAGACATTTCGCTGGAGCATTATCTATAAAGCTGTGCGCTTGACTTTTTTTCTTTCGTATTATTATATATATTTACTCATTTTCGATTTTCTTATTATTATATTTTGGCTTTTGCCGGCGTTTTGCGCACACATTGAGCTATTGTTGGCTCGCGGCACAATTTGAGCTAGTCTCTAAACATTTTGCTCTGCGCATAGACGTAATTGTAATCATGATTAAGTACTTTTCTGCTCTTAGCCAAATGAGCTGTAAAGTGCATGTGTGTGTGTGCGAGTGTGTGTGTGTTTATTCAGATTCACTTTCAGCGTGAATTGATTGAGAATGCTTGAGCAGCAGTCACAGAGTTAAACTCGCCCAGCGCTGGCCGTAACTCACCACGAGGTGAGTCACTTGTGACTGGCATCTTCTTTACTCTCTTTCTCTCACTCTGTTGCGCGTTTGCGACTTGTGCGACTGCGCTTTGCATCAAGTTTCAGTTATAACACGGACGCGTTTCGGTTTGGACGCGCTACGCTCTGAACTAAATTTGATAGCGTACGCGGCTTTTGTTGTTGTGCGGCGCCAGGATAACGGGCCGAATATATATAAATATACACATATACATAAACGTGATCTGTGTGCTGTGCAGTGTTGTGTTGTGTATTTTATTTGGCATATTAGACAAGCCGCTGTTAAGCAACAACAGCTGTTAACTAACAGCCACTGTTAAGCGGATTAACAACAACAGCCGTTGTCCTGCAAGATGCGCTTGCAACATTTGCCATTGCTGGTGAGTAGCTTTTACATAACAGTTAGCTGTTGTTGCTGCTGTTGCTGTTGTTGTTGTTGTGGACAGGTGTCAACGCTTGACCCGCAACACAGCAAACTTTGCCATTTGCCTGTATTCTTCCATTGACATTGATAAATTATGTCACTAATGTGGCAAAAGCAGCAACAACAACTGTTAACTGTAAACTGTAAACTGTCTTCCGGCTGCCTGCTAGACAATTGTGGCAGCAACAACTGTTGGCAACAGCTCAGTGTGAAGTGCAGGAGTCTTCAACTTGGCACTTGTTACGGCTGTGACTTTTTAATTGTCAGCGGCAGCGGCAGCGGCATGTTGCATGCAACTAGTTAGTGTATGTGCCGCAGCTGCAATCAAGCCCAACTCTAATCTTGTGTAATCGCGAGCATCGCAAATTTGTGCATTGTCAGAGTCTGGCCGATGCGCAATGCCCCAGACAAATGCAAATAATGACCGATGCGCTGCTGCTGCCACCTGCTGTTGCCACACGACCCCCTCTCTGTGTGTGTGTGTGTGTGTGTGTGTGTATGTGTGTGTTGCAGCTGCCTTTTGTGCAGCTAACAACTTCATCTTTATTTTGAAGTGCAACAATAACAAAAAAATCAGCATGCAACATGTGGCAAAATCAAAACTTGCCCTCCTTTCGCTTCTGTGGCAGACGCAGCAGCTGTCGCGGCAGCCTTTCAAATTGAGGCGCCAAAACGGCCGCTGACTTTTAAGCCAGCAAATCAATAGCCATCATTATTGGCCATTTGGTTCATGGCTGCGTTTGTCTGATTTGCAACCTTTACAAAAGATTTGTAATGATGTTTTTTCTCTTTGGCTTTTGTATTTGTTTTTTTTTTTTTTTTTTGGCAGACGCGCGACCCAGTAACAGGTGTGTTTGTTGTGTCAAGACATGTGGCCCAAATGCGTTTCATGGCTAATTGCTGGCTGGCAAAGCAAAGTTAATAAAAAAAGCCCCTCCCCCCCTCTCTCCCCTCGCAATAAGTTGATTGTCATTGCCTGAAAAGAATTGGCCAAATGGCCTGCTTTCCGTCAGCAGCACTTGGCCCCAGGGCTGCTCACGCATACACAAAAACACTTCAGCACCTGTTACAGGTGTATGCGTGTGTGTGTGTGTGTGTCTTCCGAATAGGCAGCGTCATTTTTTTAATATGCTGCACGCATGCAAACCAACAATTTGTATGTGAATTTGGAGTGTAGAAAGTTGATTGGTTTTATTTTTGTTTCGTTCGTTTTTTTTATTTTTTTGTAGAAAATGAAAACTTTTCTTGTATTTGGCTGCGAGCCAAGAAATGTGACAAGTTCAGATTGATATATAATACAGCTCCTGGCCGTTAGCCCTGGCCAGGCAAAGCCTTTCACTCGGCAGCGCAATTAACTTGGCCAAGATGAGCTGCAGCTGGACACGATTGGCCAAAAGCGTCTGCCGCAAGGAAAAGGAAACTTTTGGCAGCAGCCGCAAACTGAAGACGAGCCAGGCAACGAGGCAGTCAGTTACAGGTTTTTCTAGCCAATCGAGTGAACGGCGACACACGAAATATGAATTTCATGCACACACACACACGCACACACACACACACATACACACACTTGCGCAGTCGAATAAGTTGTAAATACATGAAATCGGAATGCGGTTTTGGCCACAAACAATTTTTCGGCCTGCAATTACGGCTGCAAGCATTTTGGCATCATCATCATCATCATCATCATCGAGCTCTTCTTTAACATAATCATCATCTGCTGTCGAAGCCCGCATCTATTTTAAATTAAAAGCTTGCTTTTTTTGGGGCCAGCTTCTTTAAGACATTTTATGCATGGCATATATTAATGAAGCCAATGCGTCGATTAGCTTTAACTTTAATTTGTGAGCAGCTAACCCCTACCCGCGTCCCGCCCCCTTCCGCGCTTACACACTTGTTGTTAAGCATTTTTGCTGGAATTTTAATTAGTCGAGCTAGCTCTTTAGCATATGTATTAAATACGAACTGCACACATCTTACATAATCGCCACAGTTCGGGTCAATGCGTCATATGCAAATCCCCTCCCCTCCTCCCCTCCTCCCCTCCCTTGCATCTCTCTGCTCACCCCCTCGCGGCTTGTTGGAGCATCACTTGTGGCCGGTTCCGGCTCCGGGCCGACTCTCACTCTCACTTTAGTTGCGGTCTTTTAAGTTTTTTATTTGTTGCTTCGGTTTTAATTTATGCGTGTGCGCGTGTTTTTTTTTTTTTTTTTTGGTTTTTCTTCTGGCCTTTATATAGACGATTTTTATGTATTTTATGCAACGACCTTGCACATCGTTTAGCTCGACAGCCAAAGATTTTAACTAATTAAAGCCATGCTTGATTATTAATTTAAGAAAATTTTGACGCGTTCGTTGCCTAAGTCTTTTGTTACCACACGCCCGAACGCCCGAACGCCACCCGCTGCAGCAGCGCCTGCGCCTTGTGTAATTGTCAACATGTGCAACGACTGCTCGCTGGTCAGCTAATTTGTTGTGGCTTTTTATTGTCGCGTTGTCTCTTTGCATAATGCCTGCCACGCCTGCCGCCTGCTGCCTGCTGCCTGTTGCTGCCACGGCTCATGCGCAACATTTCGTTCAATTGCATTTCAATTTACTTTGACATATATGCAAAACTGCAACGGCGACAAACTTGCCCAATCTCTGTGGTAATAGCTAGCGAAAGAGATATGGAGAGGCAGGTGGCGAGAGGGTCGGGAGTTGGGTAGGGTGGGGGGAGGGGAGGCAGGATGGCACAGCGGCAGCTAGAGAGGTGTTAATTACCTGCCATATGTGATTGTTTAGGTAGCTTGAGATAACAGCCAAGAACTGTTACATGTTATAGTGCTTGACTACTAGATACCCTGTAAAATTAGCTATGGGTACAGAAGCTCGAATCAAATCTCTGCTTTCCACTGTCAAACAAATTAAATCCAATACAATAAAGCCCATGTAAGCACTTGTAATGATTACAGGGTATACGCATGGTAGTCTGCCACTGTTAATTGTAATATAATGCCCAGCTGGCGTTTGGGATCTGTCCAAATGTTGACACATTTATGTGGCTATTCATCGCAACGCATTTGCATTCGATGAAAATTGTTTTGAATATCGTTTCAATGACATTCTTTGACTGGTTCAACAACTTTTACGGCGCATTGTCCGAGCGTTTTATTTTCATTTATTTATGCTTTTTTATTTTGTTGCCCTTACAAATGATGATAGCAGCTGCAGCGTCATCTTCTTTGGTTTATTATGCATATGAAACTTGGAAACTTTGACTGTGACTGTGTCTGAGATTGGGCTTGAGATTAAGGTTGAGGCGTCTTCACCTGCACGCGGCAAGGGCTTAGCGAGGGGGCAGGCATTGGATTGGGGGAGGGGCAGTTATCGAAAACAGCAGCCAGCTGTTGGCACGTTGTCCGCCAGCTCAACTTGGACTTGAAGTTCGCTTTCTCAGCGCCCGGATCTGTGCCTCGGTCTGGGTCTGGGTCTGTACCTGTGCCCATAGCTGAGCCCTGGTGTATCTGTATCTGTGTCCAATTCATGTCGCGTTGAGGCAGATTCGGCTGGCGTCCGACCCAACGGCAGCCTCATCATTCGTTTGACTGACAGAAAAACACTTTCATTTTTCATTTCATTTAATAATTCATCATTTTTTTTCTTTATCGCTTTGTTTTTATTTGTTGTCTGGCAGCTGCTTCAGTTGTTTCTCAGCTGTTGTTGTTGTTGTGGCTGCTCGCCAAGTGTTTATTTTGGTCTAGTTCGTCGCTTACTTCCGTTTTGGTGCCAGGCTGTGCAGCTTCTAAGGCCAGAGAAAGAAAACTCGAAAGAGTGAAAAAAAAAGGCAACGATTAACGTTTTGCGTATTTTTACGCCTTTTAGTTGCGGCGACTCGCACGCCAAGTTTGTCGCTTAAGTCTTTCGTTTCATTTTCGCCAGTCACAAGCACAAACATTTTGCACGCCTCAATTTAACACACACTCGCACACACACACTCGCACACACACACTCGCGCACACTCACTTCCTTCAATTCCTGTTGTTGTTGCTCCACATTTGATAACATGTCGCCGTTATGCAACTCGCTCGGTTGATCTCTAATTATAAGGATTATATACACAATTTGGCATTTAGCCAGTCGCATCGCATTATGCACATCCGCAAACGTTTTTCAGGGGCATTGTCTTTTTTTGTTTTGCTTTTCGACTGTCAAATTTGTATTGTGCGACTTTCATATGTGAATCGATTGAGGACATTGCACAAACTCGTTTTATCTCAGTTGAAACGCCTTGGAAATATGCAATTTGTCGGCTGCGGCTCTTAACGCCTTCCATGGCCACAATCGATTCTTTTTTAAGCATTTTTGTTGTTGTCGTGGGTTTGCCTGTTCGACTTGTTTTTGACAAGAGACTGCTTTGATGTTCAATATTTATAGTTTTTTAAATTCGTTTGTTATGTTATTTGTGACTCGCTTTATGCATCTTATCTTAAGAGTTAGCTGCTGTTCATTAATTCCACTTTGTGTTTGAAGTGCCATTAATGCGCTTTTGTTAACGCAAAAAAGTGTTTCATTCTTTTTAACTCGCAAGTGGGCTTATGAAAGGCAGTTGGGGTGGCAGGGGGTTATTCTTCAGCTGCAAACTTTAACATATTTTGCCAAAATGAGCTCCAAACGATCAATTAGCCACCTCCATTTATCGCATTTTAGAGGTCCAGTTGAAGCCAACATTACAATGAAGTTAAAGCACATGTTAAAGTGCCTGTTAACTCTAGCATAAGCATGGGCAAAGCTTGCAAATATTAGTTTGCTTTTGCAAAATGTAAAGTTAACTAGATGCAGACAACTTTAACATTAAGTTTATGTATATGTTAAAGTAGCTGTTATCTTTAACATAAGCATATGCTAAATAAACCACCTTCAGTTAGCCCAGCTCTTGCATTCTAAAGTTAACCATTTGAAGCCAGCATTAAAATAAAGTTAAAGCACATGTTAAAGTGGCTGGTAACTTTATTGTAAGCTATTGCAAAATGTAAACCATTTGCATGATGTTTGCCTTTCTAGTTTTGAGTTGGCCGCTCACCTGTATAATTGACTGTGACTTGCACACACACCTACACACACACACGCCTGGCTAACTGCAAAGCTTTTGACGTTCTGGGTCTGTCGGCTCTCACACATTTGACTTTCAGCCGAGTTCGGGCCAGAAGAATAATTGTGCCGTGTCACATGCAGTTGGCAAACAGTTCACATGGCCAACCGCAACAATGGCAGATCGTCTGCCACGTATCATAACTGTTCATCGTCAACAGCATTTGGCGCAGATTGTTTTGGCCAAATGTTGGTTATTAGCATATAGTTGCAGCCAGATGAAACGCGGGGCGTTGCTGAGAGATTGCCATCAGCTAATAGGCATAACTGTGACAGCAACAACAACAGCAACAGCAGCAACAATTGCTGGTAAAAAAGCAAATTGCATATTGGCAACAACATGAGAATCCGTGCTGGCCATTTGTCATCAGTTTACGAGCTGATATGCTAACTAATGCAGTTTGTCGCGACTGCAATTGGCAACTGCAACTGCAATTGCAATTGCAACTGCAGCAGTTGCTGTTGCCTCAAGATTTCACTAGGCGCTCGTAAACACGAAGGCGACAGACACAGATACCAACAATTTGCCAGCTGCCACATGCCACAAGCTGTTGAGCTGTTGAGCTGTGAAGCTGTGAAGCTGTGAAGCTGTGCGGCAGTTAGCTGTTTGACTGCCCAAATACAAAAACAATAAAACACGTAACAAGGCTCTTTGCGATAAGCCGCAGCTTAAATACACTTGCTGAGGATGCGAAGAAATTGTCCTTAAAGTAGCCCTAAGAAATTCAAATTCACATTTATCAAAAAATAGTTATAGTATATATATATATATTTTACATATATAATGTCTGCAACAGATTTGAGGAACTTATGATGAAAACATTTATGTTGACTAATCAAAAAAGCAATTTTTTCAAAATTTTAGAAAATATTTTAAAATTTTTCGACATTTTAACATACTTGAAATTTTTAGAAAAGTGCTTAAACAAACCATTTTTGCCAAATTTTCAAAATTTAAAACATTTCGAAATTTAGAACATTTTTTCGAATAGTTTCTTCGTAAAGTTTGAACTTCTTAAAAAATATTTCTAAATTTTAGAAATAATGTTTTTTAAAAAATTGTTCATAACTTCGGAAATGCTCGAAAATAATATCTGTTAATTAATATATTGGGGATATTTTGTTGTCTACAATTCAAAAATATAATTTTTTTTAATTTCTATGTTTGAAACGAAAAACATTTTTTCTATGCATATATATTTTTTTGGGTTTCCCCAATTTATAAAAAAAAACATATAATTTTGAGTGTTGTTTTATATGGATTATTATTTATTTGTAAGGAATCAGACATCATGTGCACTGCGTAACTGGCTTGAGTAGCTCGTCATTTGACACGGCTTCAGACTATATATGTACTTCATTAATGCTATCTCTATAGTATATATATACATACATACATACTTCTTGATCTCGACAACGTCTGCTTTTACACATTTGCTGGCAAAACTAGAATACCCTCAACAAGTGTATACGAAATGTTGCAGCCTCTTCGTGCAGCAGCAGCAGCGACGGCGGCAGCGGCAGCATCTACTCTATAATTTGCTCGAGCCTCTCACATTTTGGCCATAATTTAGCTTCGGCTTGCATTACACAATCAATTCGTTTGGCTTTAAAGATGCGCTCAAGTGTTTCTTTGATTTACACGCGGCCACTAAATGCTTGGCCAGGTTAGTTAGTGTTTCTTCTTCTGCTGCTGCTGCTGCTGCTGCTTCTTTCTATTAATTACATAATTCCGCGCAAATTGTTGTTGTTGTTGTTGTGGGCGCTGCTGAATGCAGTTCGGTTAGCTGCTGGGCCAACAAAATTTATTAGCTTGTAAACAATTTTGTTAGAGACTGTGCGTATATCTTGCTGCGTGTGTATGTATGTGAGAGTGTGTAAGTGTGTGTGTGTGTGTGGTGTATCTGGTGTTAACTTTCTCCCATTGTTAGCATCTTTCTTTTTGATTATGCGCCAGTTTCTTTTTGCGTCTTGTGTGCGCCATCAATGGCCAAAATAAAAAAAACAACTTTGCAGCTTTGCTTTATATTTTGGCTTGACATTTGGCCATTGTCTGTGGGCATACATTGTGTCTGCCTGCGTGTGTGTGTGCTTGTGTGTGTGCCAGCGGGGTGTGTGTTAATAAATCCATCTGATTGTGGCTACCGAGCTAAGCAGCAGCGGCACCAGGTGTAGGTCAGTTCATTATGCTAATACGCGTTAACCAATTCGCGATTCATTTCTATCAACAATTTTTGGCCGTGTTAAATAATCGTTTGTTTCTGTTGTCGGGGGCGCACATTTAAAATGTGACAATGTGGCCTAATTAGCATAAGATGCGGTAAGAGACGAGCTCTTCCTCTGCTTTTGTAAAAAAAAAGTGCGTGCATGTGTCTATACATATATATATATATAGACTTGATGAGTGCAATTAAAAGCCACGTCGCCTGTCAAAATGTGTGTCAGCAAAGAAATCACGCACTAAGGCGACAACAGCAGCAGCCGCAACAGTAGCTATAAAAAACAAAAAAGAGCTACAACAAAAATTTGGAAAAGAAAAAAAAAACAATAGCGTTTGCCGCAAGTGCTGTCAAAATAGTTCGCACAGCTTCCGTTTTGGATGTTTGACGAACTGGCGCGTTTGACAGCTTCAACGATGTGACAACGATGCCATAATCATTATCTCGGCAGATCTTCACAATGTATATACACATGTCTGCCAGCTTGATCTTTGCTCGCGCATTGCGCATACGCCGCTTGGTCCACATTTACAGCTGTCTTTTTGTCTTATTTATATTACAGTTTTTGGCGTGTGAGTTTCACTTTAAGCACGATTATTACTCAATTATAATATATCAAATGTCAGCGCCCACATTACTCACATTTGCAGTCAATGAAAAAAGCAGCTAGAAATGATTATTTTCTTCTACAAACTTTTTGTTGTTTTGAGAAAGTAAAGCAAATTTTGTTTTATGGCAGTGCCAAATGTCAAATGCCAGAAGGGTGAGGGTTGGGCGGGGTCTGGGACTGGGACTGGAATAACCATAAAATATTTTCACTTCAAGCAATTGAGTTGCCCGTTGCATTTGGCAGTTGGCAGTTGGCCGAAAGACAACTGCGTGGGCGTTGCTGCAGCTGGCTAAGAGACAACTTTTTGGTTGTTGTTTGGCTTAGTGTCATGATCTATTGTCATATACTTTAGCTGGCACTGCACGCATTGCAGTACATCCACTCTCTCTTTGTAACTGTCCTGGCTCAAAGATAACCAATGAAAGCACAATTTTTGCCCGAATTGGCTCGCATTCAAGTTGAAAATTGAATGCCAAACGTTGCCATGGACTTTCACGAGCCCAAAATGTTTCAATCTCTGCAAAATCTGACTTAAGTCTCTTAAAGTCTATGCAGATTTAATAACTTGCATAACTCAGGCCCATCAGATCTTCGATGGGCACAGCTTTTTAGGCTCGTAGTGATTGCTAGCAGCGATTGTTAATTCACACATTTAAAATATTGATTAAATTTAACAAAAATGCCTCTAAGCAGCTCGGACGTAATTTACTCGAGATATGGCCGTTTGTTGCATTTCCAAAAGATTATATCTCGAATATGTCGAGTAAAAATGTGCCTATGATTAAGTGTTAAACCTTTTTAGAGCCCTAATCGACATTGTTTAGAGATAACATTCACATGAAGTTTATTCTCCTGTTAAAGTGCCTGTTAACTTTGACATAAGCACGAGCCGAGTGTACAGAAACAAGCAGAACACACTTAATTACATTACAAATAATCAAAAGTGACTCACTTTCCATTTACATATATATATATATATTCTTATATGTGAGTTATCATAATATTTCTAGTATAGAGCGCAGCTATTGCTGATAGTTCACACCTGAGCCTGATAGTGGCGACCCTTGCGGGGCCTGCGGCAGCTCTTCCTCCTTTTCCTCTTCATATTCGATAGATTCGCGTTGCTGCTCACCAAGTTCCAAGTTAGCTATGGAAACTGTTTGCCTGCTGTTCCTGCACTTGAGACACGCTTTCACTTGACAATAAACGAGTACGATAATGAACAGAATTATCCAAGTGATGACTGTGCTCAGGACAAAGACGGGCACCATCTTATCGCATAAGAAACTCTGACAGCTTTCCCAAGCTATCCATGCCTGAGTTAAGGAAAATAGAAAGATCGTAGATGTCAACACGATTTTGAACACGATTAGCAGAATAATATGCGTGAACGTGAGCTGCATTTTGAGACAGAACAAAGACTGAACTCTGCTCGGAAATAAACTACATTTCTCGAGAGGATTTCTTCTGGTTGCGGTCGAGCTAACGACCTGCGGTTTGCCTATCAGAGTTTGCCTTATTTATTGAAGCCAATTTAGTTTAACTACGCCAAGTAAATATAGCACAAAAATTTACTCAGTGTGAACTGGAGTAAACATTTATTTATTATTAAGTTGTGCACAGAATTAATTTGAATTAAAAATATAAGTTATAATTAAGCTATGCGTACAGCTTGGCATGAGATCTAAGTGCTTTATAGTTTGTAATTGAAGTTCATAAAGCTGTTAAGGATGTATAGATATATAGTATCAATATATATATATATATATAGTTCATTCTTATGATTAATTTGCTGTACAATTTTATGCTTTCTTCTTGCTATACAACAGCTCCATACTCTTTAATCTGAGTCAGTTGCATTCATTACACTTGCTAGGCCATTTTCTTAGTCCAATTCAATTAGTTGACATCTCCGAATCTATTATCTGTAATTCTTAATAATTATTCTTATGATGAGTTCTTTTATGGCCTTTGTTTAAACACATTTTCTCTCTGGTAAATATTATTATTGTTATCAATATTTTTATTATAATTATTATTATTATTACTCTTAATATCAGCCTGATTTTTACTGGCAATTCTGGCTTTCTAAGGGCTCGAACCAGCATCCTTTATCAGACTAAATTGTTTCCCTTGTTCACTTCAGCTTGTAGCTTAACTTTTGTTGAACAAAATATTAACAAAATATCCCATTTGAATTTGACTTAAATAGAAGGCTAAAAAAGTGGCTAGTCTCAAGGATGACAACGTCTGGAATATAATTACCTTGTCATAAGATTATTAAACTTTCATTTGTTAAATAGCTTAATATGCCTCTTCCATAGCATATTCATTTTATTTATTATTGCAAGATTGAGCTTGAGATTGGGCTCAGATTTATTTAAAATTATATTTTGTGCATTTTATTAATATAGGGTATATGCGATGCCTTTGCAATAGGTTATTCATTTTGATGATTCGCATTATACTCATATTTATTTTGTATATATTTTATGCATTGCCCTTGATCATTTTTAAGGGAATGAAAACTTTTCCCTAGCATATTTATTTGATTTATTTCTGTATATATTTGGGATATCTAATTTATGATAATATTTATACAAATCTAAATTTGTCCCTTTTCATAGTCTACTCATTTTATTCATTAATACCCCGCTTCAGTTCATACTCATATTTGTTATATTTCGTATATATAACTTTTATAGGGTATACACAATTTAAGCTTAACAAATTTTCGACAAATCAATATGCCTGCTCCATCGCATATTCATTTTATTTATGAATACGCACTCATAAGTATTTATGTTCACATTGTATTTAACTTATTTAGGGTATGTACAATTCGTTTTGGGCGTGTTGTTTGTGTGTGTGTGTGTGTGTGTGTGTGTGTGTGTGTGTGTGTGTCACCTGCATTGCTGCTCGTTTATTGTCGAAATGCAAATTGCGAGTGTTGAAATTGAAATTCAGGTCCGCTTTTTAGCGCAACTTTCACGGCTACGTGTGGCAAATAGGCCCGATTACTCAGCTCAACGCGACTTGGCTGACACAGTTAAATTCGATTAAGACTAAGCCCTAACAAGCTCCAATTGGGCAGATTGATGGGCTCAGCTGGAGCTGAGACTTTGGCTCCCATAGGCTGGCCTTTAACCCAACAAAATTGTGTGTGTGTGTGTGTGTGTGATATGTGTTTTATTTGTGTGCAGTCAACTTGACATTGACCCAATGCCAAAGACGGATTCAACGCACGTCTTCGCGTTCCATGTCCACGATTTGTTCAGCTAATTTTTGCCCGACAAAAAAAAAACACTTTGCGGGGGGAATCTTGATGTTGATATTTGTTTTGATAGCGTTTTTTTAATTTGCCACTTTTGGGCATTCACCAAAATTTGCTTAGCCTTTTGTGGTTCGGTTTCTTTTTTGCGGTAAAAGTGTTTTATTATTTCTTTTTTTTTTATACGCATAACCGAGGGTCTCGACCTTGCGCGCGCCACAAAACTTAATTAAATATCTCGCCAAGTAATCTAAATAAATAAATTAGAAATTGCTCATCAAATAAAACTAACAATAAAAAAAATGTATTTTTTTATTTTTGCAGTTGGCGCTGTTTGCGGTTGGAGCAGCTGCCGCCGGCACGACGAAGCCCAAAAGCGAATCCAAGCCCAAAACTGAGACAGCCACTAGCAAGAAGGCCACGCCCACAACTGCAGCTGCAGCCACAACAACACGCCAGTCAAAGTCGGTGAAGGTAAAGCCTGTGCCCGGCGAGAATCGCGGCAAGCGCACGCTCTACGACTTCGGCAATGCGGGCTATCTCTATCCGGAGGTGGCCAGCCGGCGTGCCGGCTACGTGGACAGCTACTATCCGCAGGCGGGCTACTACAATGGACAGCAGGCCATAGGTGAGAGCTCGGGCTGCACTTGCTCCGTTCTCTGACTAAACTCTGACTCCCTTTTCAGCTCAGTATCCGGGCAGCTTTGGCAGCGCCTATGCGCCGTATCCGCAGTATCTGGAGGCGCCGGAGCCCATCATCGAGATCATTATTAAGGATGCGAACGAAACGCTTGCCCAGGAGCCGCCGCAGCCCATTGTGACCAAGACGAAGAAGAAGAAGAAGGAGAAGGTGCACGTGTACTATGTGAACTACAAAAAGGATCAGAACAACAAGCTGCATCTGGAGACGCCCATCGCCTCGCTGAACAACGACGACAACGACGAGCCCGAAGAGGAGGAGGAGGAGGAGCTGGTCCAGTATCCGGTGACCCCGTTGCCACAGCTCAAGGCGGCCACCACGCTGCGCACCATCATCCATCCCGACTCCGAAAAGTATCACAGCAACAGTGGCATACACGTGTCCTTTGGCGCCGAGAACAAGCAGCAGACGGGCCACATCCTAGAAGAGCACGATGCGGAGAGCGTTCAGCGCCAGGTCGTGGCGCTGCCCCTGACCAACACGCGCGCCGACTACGGACGCGAGAACAGCTTCGGGCGTGGCCCAGTCTCCAACTTGCTCTTCGGCAGCAACAGCTACCAGCAACAGGCGCAGCAGCAACAGTTGCTGTTTGCCAATCATCAGCAGCTGCCCACGCAGCACAGCAGCAACTACTTCAGGCCGCCAAGCAAGCAGCAACAGCCGCCTCAGCAGCAGCAGTCACAGCAGCAACATTCACAGCAGCAACATTTCTATCAGAAGCAGCAACAGCAGCAGCGGCCCAGCATCACGCAGCAGCAATTGCCGTCCACATCCTCGCAAAGCATATTCAACAAGCTAGTGCAGCAGTCGCAGTTCTATGTCAATCACAATCAGCAATATCAGACGCAGACACAGCAGCAGCAGCCGCAGCAGCAACAGCAGCAACAGCAGCAGTACCAGAAGCCGCCGCATAAGCAGGTGCAAGTGCCCTTCTTCCCAACAATACCGCCAAAAACTCAAGAGCTGCCCACGCGTGCCAGCTCCACGCCATATCAGCCCATCAAATTCCGACCCACGCCCGCACCAGCGCCACAAGTCAAGCCATTGCAGCTGCCGCTCAAGCTGGACAGCTATCAGCAGCAACAGCAGCAACAGCAGCATCAACAGCAGCAGCAGCAGCAATATCAAACGCCCAAACCGCAGCCTTATCAGTTCGTAAGACAGCCACAGTTTGTGCAGCAGCCGCAGTTTATAGTGCACTCGCCCACGCCAGCAACACCCTACTATTCACAGCAGCAACAGCAGCAACATCATCAGCAGCAGCAGCAACAGCAGCAGCAGGAACACAAATACTCCTCGCAATCGCTCAACTATTTTGACATAAAACCCTCCAAGGAAACGGAGCTCTTGAAGTCCATACCCAAGTTCGAGCAGCACATAACCGAGACGGTGCAGAATCCGCTCATACCCAGCCAACAGGAGCAGCAGCTGTCACATCAGCAATTCGCGTACAGCAGCAATCGCAATGAGGTGATTCATGACATACCCGCGCCCAATCTAGCGCCAGGGCCCACCAACGCAGCTCAGCCACACACCCAATCCCAGTCCCAGTCCCAGTCCATTGCTGGCCATTATATCACAGCCAGCAACACGCACCAGCAACAACAGCAGCAGCAGCAACAGCAGCAGCAATCGCAGTACAGCAGCTTTGCCAGCGAGGCGCCGCCTGTTTATGCCGAGTCCACGCATGGCCAGAAGGTAATGGTGGTCACGCCCGTGCCACCTGCCGCCAGCTATGCCAGCTACAATCAGTATCCGCAGGCGCACAACGAGCAGGTGATACAGGTGCATCCGCAGGCGCAGCAGCCCAGGCAGACGAGCAATGCGCAGCTGAGTGCAGCTGTGGATAATTCGCCCTTCAGCGTGTCCACCTACCACTCGGATGTGTTCAAGGAGCTGCAGCAGCGACAGCAACAGGAGCGAAACCAGCAGCAACAACAACCGCAGCAGCAATCTACTTATGTAACCCCAGCAGCAGCAGGAGCTGCCGGTGCAGCAGCAGCTGCTGCCCCAACGCCAACTCCGTTGCCCACGGCTGCGCCCGCGCCTAATGGCAAGGCTTCGCAGACGCTGCTGCAGCTGCCGGACGAGGTGCCCGATGATCTGCGCCAGCAGCTCCTCTCCTCCGGCATACTGAACAATGCCGACATCTCGGTGCTGGACTATGACAAGCAGGGTGATATTGCTTTGGAGAATCTGCCCGCGGAGCATCTGCAGCATTTCTATGGCGCCGGCGGCGGTGCACAAATAGCCGAGACCAACAAGGTGCTGACCGTGGTGAAGCCCAACGGCGACAAGGTGGCGCTCAGCGAAAAGCAAATCGAACGCGTCAAGCAGAGCAACTCGTTGCCACAGAAACAGAATCTGGACGTGAAGGTGGTGCGCTACGATGCCGAGCAGGGCCAGAGCGTGAGCGACAAGTATGTGCGCACGGATGCGACCGTGGTGACGCCCGTCGAGCTGGCCGATCGCCAGCAATACAATCGCTATTTGCCGCTGAAAATAAATGGCGCACAGTTTCCCATACCCGACAGCGAGGAGCTGCTGGGCAAGAAGATTGTGAGCGTGGTGGTGCTGGCGCCAGTCGAGGCACAGCCTCCGACGCAGTCCAGCGAGGCGCGCAGCAGCAGTGTGGACAGCAAGGAGGTCAAGTTTCTGGGCGGTGAGCTGGTCAAGACGCTGGTCAAGAAGCCCACCAAGGAGAACTTCAAGCGCTGGCTCGAGAAGGAGGCGCGCACGGACATCGAACTACAGTCGGTGGTGCTCCTAGTGGCCAAGTAAGTGATATGCCAGTCCGATTAAGTAGCATAATCGTAGTTGATATAGTTATAGCGTTCTTAACAGCCAATGTTAATGTGACGTTAACAGGGTGACGCTAACAGCTTAAGTTCCGTCCGATTGGGCCAATGGGAGCCACATGACACACTAGTCCGATACAGTAGCATAATCGTTATGTTAATGTGACGTTAACAGTGTGACGCTAACAGAGCAGCATGCAAGCACAATGCATTTCATTCCTCTTTATTATGCCACAGATCCAGCGATGCCTCGGAGCAGGAGATCTTCATGTATGACATAACGACAGGCAGCGTCAACAAGCTGAATGGCGAACTCTCCAGCACCTTTGTGAATGTGGCCGAGGAGAATGCCAGCAGCGAGGATTTGGAGCATGCGGCCACACTGGATCCCAGCTCGCTAGAGACCATGATGCATATGCGTCGCAGATGAAGCAGACGCCGCATACACACACACACATACACATAATATGCCATTTAGATACTTGACCCAAACATCCTTGAACTTGTACTATATTCAAATTCTTTCATTCACATTGGCGCACATTATTTTTGGCACTAAAATTCGTACATAAAAGGTATCATTGATTGCGGTTCATACACAGTGCATATTCCTTTTCGTAGTATTTCAATGTTGTAAATATATTCTGATGATTATCTTAATTTAAGTTAATTTACGTGAATAATAAAAACAAATTTAATTAATGTATGAGATATTTAAGCGCAAAATGTAAATCAAATGTTAGCAAACATTGCCCTAACAGAGCCTTAACTTTGCCCAGCTTTTGGGTTGTTGTCCGCGCTAAGCTGAGCTTAAAGCTCTTGTTAAGCTTTGCCGCATACCGTTCGAGCAACTTCTTTGCCAACATTTGAGCTTTAGTCTAAGAGTTGTTTACAAACTGCGCCTACAGACTCAACATGCTGGCCAACACATTTAGGCCAAGGTTAGCTGCTAGCACCACAGAAGATTAACACACACGCTTCGATAGCAGGACAAGATGTTGTCGTAAACAATAAAATGCGCACTTATCATATGCGCATACGTGACCTATCAGAGCTGGCCACATTGGCTGCTGGACGACGTGACCAAAGGCCAGCAAAGAGCACGCATAAATCTGTGGCTTAAGCAGCGTGCGCTCTCTTCGAAGACGCTCTCTTCGACAGTTGCCTGGCCGGTTCGCATTGGGCCTTTATGGCGCGCGTGTGCGTGTGTGTGTGCGTATGGCAGCGTAAGTGCAACAAGTCGCAGTCAACGGCTATAATTACATGCCGTTTATTTTTAGCGCACAGCAACAACAGCCATTTGGACAGACATCAGCAGCAACAACAACAACAGCAACAGCAACAACAACTAAATGCAATAGCCAAAAACGTCGATAACAACAAAACAACTGAAAAATGCAGCGCATAAACGAGGCCTGGTTTTTTATTGCAGCGCGCAAAAGCTAACATACCGGCTATAAGTTGCTTGTTGTTGTCGTCGATGTTGTCGTTGCCGGATCGAGTCGATAACAACATGTAAACACACACACACACACACACACACACACACACACACTGCTGCTTGTCTGCTTGTCTCTTCTCCCCTTATGCAATGTGCGGTAAGTTTTATGTCTTTCGATTTTTGGCTATTTGAACGAATCTAACGCGAAACAAATAGAAAAGCTACAAATTGTGCATGAGAGAGTGTGTGAGATAGTACAGTGAAAACTCTCTTGGGCGGACAGCGAGCGTCGGTTAATGAATATGGCCTGATTCATAATGGTTTGTAAGAAAATGTTCGACCAAGAGGGCTATTTGCCTAGCAGGAATGTTCGTTGGAAGTGTTTTTACTGTACCTGTATGAACAATTTAAGAGTTATTTAAGCTTGAACCAATATTGGTCTGTTCCTTTAATCGGTTCAACTAAGTTTAAATGCACAATTCAATTAGTTTGACTGAATAATTTGATACTTTAATGAATGTGTTAAACAGGAAATTCTTGACTTTATAAGTAGTCATTTTCCGACTATTTAAATTGTTAAGATAAACAAATGCTTTATGGCAAGTTCATAAAGAAACAGATGGAATTTTGTGGCACATTTGCATACTTTATGTATCTTCTTGAAAAGTCAACAAAAAAAAAAAAACAAAAAATTAACGAAATGAATTCAAATGCAATAAAAATATTTAGCATAAATATTATTTTGAATGCGTACATAAATCTTTGGCATTAAATTTTGTTTAATATCGCATTAATTGACATTAAAGCCACAAAACTGAATTGAATATTTGTGGCAATCTTTATACAAAACTCGTTTTGCAACATTCAAATTTGTATGTCTGCAGCTATTTTTAAAAACTCAATTAGCAACGCTATCGTAACAGAAATTATCACATCAACACTAGTTTATTAACAGTCCAAAGATCTATTTTTGGGCTTAAGATTACACATCCAACGGGCATTTCCTTTCTAGGTTAGGGCAGCGAGTATTTCCACGTTGCGACGTTGATTATAAATATAAACAACGGTATTCAATGGAAATAAATTGAGTAGGCGCCGATCAATCAATTGAATAATTACTCGAAATTAAATCTTAGTTTATTCACGTTATTTAATACCTGATAAGGTTTTCTTAAGGCTTCGCTGGAAAGAAAGAAAGAAAGAGAAAAAAAACAAATAATAAAACTGACTCAATTGTATTCGCATTTCTGCTCATCCCTCACGGCGCATATCGTGTGTGCACACACACATACGCATGTACATGCATGCATGTACACACATGCACACACACACGCATATGCTGTTTGAATTGTTTTCGATTTCTTACAACGCCTTTCGCTGTAATTTTCGTATTTTGCCTTCCCCATGCATGTGTTCTTTCTCTCTCTCTCTCTCTCTCTCTCTCTTTCCTACTGAGCTTTTTCTGCGACTCGTTTTAAAATTGGGTTACAGAGCCCAAGACCAAAGCCTCAAACCAGCAACCAAAAAAAAAAAAAAAACGAAATAAAAGAAATAAAAATGCAAAAATCCGTTTGACGCCGTAAGCTCCATGAGTCAGAACTGTTGCACTGATTGCTAAAGCAGCAGCAGCAGCAGGGGCAGCAGCAGCAGCAGCAACTGTGGGTGTGGGTGAAGTAGAAGAAGAAGAAGCAGCAGAAGAGCTTCAGCTTGGACTTTATTTGTGTGCATAAGATTTCGATTTCTCCACTTTTTGTTTTGCTTCTTTAAGCGTGTCTGCTTTGTTAGCTGATTTGTAACGTTACAATCGTTCGTTGTAGGAGTCTACTGCTCTTATTATTTGCTGTTGTAACGTGTGCGTTATTTACGAGCGGCTTCAATAAATTTAAGAGCGCCAGTATCTGACTTAAGAGCGTGCTTAAGCCTTTACAGCTAAGCTTATCGCTTGGCTTGACTGCGAGCTGATCAGGCAAGACAGCGCAGCTAGCCTTAAGCTATTTAACAGCTAAGTTGTAGCTAATAATGTGTAAAGAAATTGGCTAAACGAGGTAACTTGATATATATATATAACATGAAATATATACAATTGGAAATATTCATAAAATACAACAAACAATATTAATTGTATGCCATATTTTTATCCGGCAAAACACAAATGTACCTATGCAAATTAATAACTAACACAAACCAAAGCAAAAGAAAAAAAAGCTAGCTAGAAGCTCTAGTTGGTTATTCCAGCCAACAGCTAAATGCTCTCCCGCAAAACTAGCTAGTTTTTAGCAGTAGAATGGCCGAAGAGGCAACATTGTCGAACGGCGAATGAAACGTGAAGCATCGTCGTCTGGCATCGCTCAAAGCTGAGCTCAGTTTGGTTCGATCAGTCGTCGCAGCAAGTCCAACTTGTCATCGGGCTCCACACACAGCGCAGTCGAGAGTCGAGGGTGGCGCAGTGCTTGGCCCAGTCACCGTCTCCGTCTACCTAACTGAAAAGGGCGCGCGAGTGCATTAACTTTAACCGTTAACAATATTGTGCGCTTATTTTTGGCTATATAATATATACATATATTTGTGTCAAGTTTTATTTACGTGTAGAATTGTGTGTGTGCAAAGTCGAACGAATTATGCAATTGGCCTATGCTAAGTGAAAAGTCAAATTGTGTTTTGTAATGCTCCAAAGAAACGAATATACAAAGAAAAGTGAAGCTGCTGCCAAGCTAAAGCTAAACCGCAATCAACGGTACTGAAAAGCCGTTTTAAAACAAATACAAATAAAACATACAACAACAACAACAACAAAAAAAGAGTTACTGAAATTTAAGACATCCAGACAAAAATGGCGGCTGCAGCGACAACGGCAACTGCGACTGCGTCTGCGTCTACGGCGAACATTTGCGTCAGCTGCGCACGCCAGCGTCAAAGCCGACGCTGCGTCGGCGCCGGCGCAACGACGGCGGCTGGCAGTAATGCCATATTGCGAATTTATAGCGCCTGGGCACTACTCACACTGCTGGCCGCCAGTGCTGCCTATGTGCAGAGTGCAGCCGTTTCCTTTGGTTAGTGTTGTTTTTCTTTCTTTTTAAAATTAAGCTTTAATATTCAAATTTCTTTGTGCTGTGCTTCCCCGTTATGACAAGACTTTCATTTTATTTGAATGTACAAAACAAGAGCTTCAAAAGTGGCTTATCATTCGTATTTTGCGAACTAACCTCTTCTCGAATTTGCCAGACATTTGTTTATTTCTACTTCTTCTTTTCTTATTTTTTTTTTTTTTTTGCACTATTCTATTCCAAGGCGTCTTTTGAGCATATTCTTAAGTTGCTGCGTGCTTATACAAATGTGAACCACTGTCATTTGTGTGTGTGTGTGGTTTTCTGTTTGTTTTGTTGCTGCGACAATTTGTGAACATGAATCGTAAACCGGTCTCCGTTTCGGGCCGTCTCTCGATCTTTTCACATGGCTTTTATTGCATATTTATTTATATTTTTCATCTTTTTGTTTTATTTTTTGGTCAAGCGGGTTGTTAATGTTCTTGTTGTTGTGTCAGTTATTGTAAAAGCTTTACAGAGCTTTGCACAAAGCAAAACTTTGTTAATTGTTAATTGTTTTATTCTTTACGCCGCCTTTTAAGCCGTGCATCATACTTGCGGCCGGCCTAGACGTAATAACAATAAATAAAAAACATATCAATACACGCGGAAGCAACACGCTTGAAATAAAATACTCACCGAAAGACACGTGAAACAAGATAATAAAAGAAAATGAATAAAATTATATTTAAATTACAGCCGAATGAAAACTATAAAAAAAGAAGAAGAGGAGAGGAGAGGAGAGGAGACGAGACGGAACAAAAAGCTCGGGCAGATGGCAGCGCGACCTCATTGTCATTGAAATACCGTTACGGCGAAGAACAAAAGCAACGATGCCGTAAAGTTCAGCAGTTGCCAGTTACCGTTAACCCTAACTGACTCGCCCACCCGCGCCCCTTTGCCCAGCTTTGGCAGGCAACTGCAACTGTTGCTGCTGCTGTTAACAAGCGATGCTTTTAACCCTGTTCCGTTGAACTTTAAACATTAATTTGACGTTCCATTTCGGAAACATGCCAATTGCAGCTGGGGCAGAAGCAGCACA